ATATATATATATATATATATATATATATATATATAATATTATATATATATAAAAGTTAATATACCATTCTCCGTCTTCTTTCTTACGCTCTTTCTAGGTTCACCGTATGTTTTCATCGTTGTCGTCAAACCCAATAACAAAAATCTCACTCGCAAGCATTATTGACTCCATCGATATCAATGGTTGAACCATGTGGTATTCGTCTTCTGTTGTTAACAATACTATGGACAATGCCATCAGTGTATTGGTTCGAGTTATGGTTAGGTAATATGAACATCTGAGTGTTGAAACTATGGTTTAAATCATGGTTAGATAATATGGACATCTACCTACGTAATCAACAAGGATTTTCTCATTTCTTCATTTTCATTTGTTGTTGGGTTCGAAGACGACGATAAAAACACACGGTGAGCTTAAAAAGAGCGCAAAAAGAAAACAGAGAATGGTATATATTAACTTAGGGTTAATGTCATATTTTCCGATCAAGCTTTCCTGGTTTATTCTAATTCATCGTTTATGTTTTTTTTTGTTTTGAAGGACCTAAACTTTGTTTTGACTTGTTATTTGGGTTACTCAACCCATTATAACCGGTTAGTCAACCTTCCACCATCTCATATCAAATTTTAGGGGACTATTCCCCTTTCCTCTGCACCCCACAACAAATACTATCAAACAAACTCATTTTTCTTCTTCCCACTCATCGCCATTAATACTCTCCCATATCTTCCATTCGATTTCTTGCTACACAGAACGTCTCTCTCACACATATATTTGCTTTTTCATCTTGCAGTGTTGTCTGGGATGATGTTGGCCTAACACTCATCTCTGTTTTTCTATTCATTCTTCAATCCATTGAAATGGTGAAAAGAAAATGATCAGATAATCCTGATCGAAACCTTCACAAAACACACGAATCAAAACACTTGTACATGAACCCATCTGGTTTAATCCATTCCTTCAATTTGAAAAACAATGTGTTTAGCTTCTTCAACAAGTTTACACCCACATATAGTCTCAATCACTCCGATTAGAGTTCTTAGATTATACCTGTAACCAAACGGTTATGCCCGATTTCATTGATCGAATCCTTTAAAATGTTTGTGTTTCTTGATTTTTCGATGATATCGAGCATTTTGTTTGCTGTGACGGGAGTGTGACTGAAGGTTTGTGTTTGTAAGAATTTGTGAAACTTTTAAACAGGTTTCCTAGAGTAGGGGAATTTGTTGGTGGTGTCGGTGTCATTGGTGTAATTGACATTATATATCGACAAAAATAATCTTTATTTAATAAAACGGCAAAAAAGCAAGGAAAAACTAGATGACCCCTTCACAGTTCTTAAAATGGTGTAATTGACAATAAATATACCTGTTTACTGACCTATGGTGCAGAAAAATAATCTTGGTGAACAAATCAGACAAACACAAAAAGTTTATTGGGCTAATATGCTATTTGCCCTATTAACTTATATCATATGATATATTTTAGTGAAAATTTTCATTAATTAATGAAAAAATCCCAAATTTTGGATCAATTAACCAAAAATGACAAGATACCAACTAAATCTGTAAAACCTACCACAAAGGATATTCCAAAGTTTTAACCGGTAATTTGTTCATTTTTATAAACAAAATTTAATTTGGAACTCAATCATATACTGTTTTAGACTTCATTATAGATGTCTCTTGATTTAAAATCCAAAATTATCAGATCTTTCAATAGTGTCTTTCAAAATGACTCAAGTAAAACAATCAATAAACATCACTCTTTGTTGACTGTCGCTTGAAAATCCACATAAACAGAAACTTAGCAAACTCAAGTTAAAAAAGGCTCTTGCCTTATTCTTAACAAGGGACAAATATGCATACTCTCACTACTAGCCATGCATCATGAACATTCATTCTACAACAGTGTAACAACAAAGCAGTGCAGAAAGTATTACAAGTATCAAAACCAACTTTAAATTAAAATACTTCCAATCATCATAAGTTTTAATCTCCTTAATAAAAACTGTTACCAAACAAAATAAAACAAAGGAAGCCAACAGGTCAAAGAACAAAACTTCAAGACTACTAAAAGCATCAACTTTCTTCATCCCTGACATTCTCACCCCAACAATCTCATTTCTTCGACTTTTTGGATGCCCTGAAAAACGTTTTTATTAAAAAAGAAAAATCAGCAAAACATATTTCAAGAATTTCAAGAAAAAAAAAACATATTCTTATCAACACTCACTGTGCAGGTTGAGCTGCAGGAGCTGGTGTTGGAGCTGGAACTCTCTCCTGTGGGCCCTGAGCCAAACGCTCCTCCCTGCGAGCCATCTTTCTTTCTCTGCTGGCCTTGTTCTTTGCACGCTTGGCTTCAAACTGATCAGAGAGTGTCTTCTCTCTTGCCTTTTCAGCCTTTGATTTGTGAATGCTTTCCATCAACACACGCTTGTTCTTAAAGACATTACCTTTCACCTTCATGTACATATCATGATACATGTGCTTGTCAATCTTCTTTGACTCTCGGTATTTTCTCAGCAACCTCCTCAACACCCTCATCCTCCTCATCCATAGAATCTTCGTTGGCAACCTTGCCTCCCTTGTTCCCTTACGTTTACCTAAACACCATTCATTACGTAACATACATGTTATATGTTATTATTAAGACAATATATTTCACTCTAAATGATCTTAAAGAGTAAAACCAAAAGAAATACCGTATCCTGAATGACGCCCTTTCCTCTTGGCTTCCTTCATGCGACGTGCACGTGATCGTGAGTGGATCTTGGTTGGCTTCCTGATGATGAATCCATCCTTGACCAACTTCCTGATGTTCTGACCTGCACCCATTCAATAAGATTCATTTCAGCAGTTGAAAAACCATAGAAACTTGTTTTCGGTTTTTGATTTCATTGAGAATCGTGTTTATAAACTATTTTCATCAAAAAAACCAGCTCCAAAGAATCGGGGATACAATGAAAAGCAATTAATAACTAATCATCAATTCAAAACATCTAACGAAACTACTGAAAATCGTTTTAACTGTGAAATAGAATACAATCAGTTGAAAAATCAAACGCATAAAGCTGTCTGAAATCACAGACATAGAAGACAATCAGTTGTGTCAATCGTAATCAAGTAACGGATTTATAAACGATAGAAACAACAAACAGGTAACAAAGTTGTGAACTTATTTAATCCGGTTAGTCGGCGACCGATTCTTTCACAATAACATAAACATAGTTACAAATCAAAAGAGGAAAAAGAAAATCATTCGTCGGTTAGATAATCAGATAATGGATTTAAAGCACAGTGGATGAAAACGAGATGAAGGAGAAGTAAGGAAATGTGAAGGTAACATACGAGAATTGGCCATGGAGATCTCATTGCCTTCATTTGGATCGAGCCAAACCTTGCCCCTTCCGCACTTTAGGACGCTGGCAGCAAGCCTCTTCTGTAGCTTCAACGACACCATCTCCTACTCTCTGGCTATCCCCTTCCCCCCTCTCACCTGTAGATAATAAGAACTAGGGTTGCTGGCGAAATTGTAACCCTATATCATCATCCAAATCTATTAGGGTTTATAAGTTGGGCTGGGCTTTCATAGATTGGACTGACTATTTTTTATTTGTTATTCTACAGAAAGGCCCAACTTATATATATCAAAACAAATAACATTATTTTTTTTAATTGTACTATCAAAGCATTTTTTTTTTCTGTTTCAATGTTTGTAACTTGATCAATTGTACCATCATAGCATTTTTAATTGTGTCCATGTAACATCTACATATAATTAATATATTTTATTTTATTTTAATAGTTATTTACATTAAAATTTTAATAGTTATTGTTTATATTTTATTTTAATAGTTATTTACATTAAATCGTTAGTTGGTAATTGGAAGATATAGATTGTGGCTTTTATTTGTATTTGTCGAAAATAGATTTTAGCTCTTAAAGTTTTAAATTTAAATAAAAACCAAATGTTAAAACTTTGAAAAACTAAAAGCTTCCAAAAACTATTTGAAATAACTTTTGAATTATTAAAATTTTGTTTAGAAAACAGTTTGATGAAGTTTTTTATTTAATTTGAAATTTTTTTCTTTAAAACTTTTAATTCACATGTCAAATAAAGACCTGATGTTTTGTATCTTCATCCCACCAAGACTCGATGCCAATTCAAATACTTAAAAAAGAAGATTTTCACTTTGTTTTACCAATTCAATAAACAAATAACACATGAAGTTTGGAACTGAATCATGAAGACCTCCAAGCTTTTAAAGGTGCCTAGATAAAATGGGTTTATATATATAACGAACAGGTAGCATATAAGTTTGGGTGTATTGGTTCAACATCAAACACAACATTAACGTGGATATGACCAATATCTCCTAGGTTGTGATGAATAACATTTTAATTGTAACTTACTCATCATGCTGACATTTGATTTGAGATACATTTTCGTAAGCTCTTACTTTAGACCATCAAATAAATTCCTAACACAAGCATTATAATTCTAGTCGACTATAACTGTGTTTTTTATTTTTCTTACATAACATCTGCATGCATTCATAATTTCATATGATTTCTCGCATTTGATTGTACCTATATAGTTCTCATGTTGTGGTGATGTGGTGATTGTGGTCTACATATGTTTTGCTTGAAACATTATCATATAAGTCGATAATAATTCATATATGTTTTTAGTGATGTTTTCATAAACATATATGTGTAGACATCATATTATGCATGTATCTTAATGTTACAAAACAAATAAATAAATAAATAAAATAAAAAATAAAAAATGAAAACTCACCTTAAAGCTAGGATAGGCTCGTTCGGCTCTCCTTGGTCTGCCCTTTAACTTTGTTGATATACTTGTTTCTTTTAAAATTGCAACTTCACAGCCCTTTTTATTCTTTCTAGATCTTTGGAAATCGTCTTTTGCTTCCTTTTAAAATTAGTAAAATGGATGTCTTTTTCATAGATGGAATGGGATTGGTCTACAAGTAAAATACTTGGTTGACAAGTTTATGTGGTTTCTATGTCTAGAATCGTTCAACCTCCTTCCATCATCATGTCACGTGACACATACTAATTGTCCACAATAATGACAGGAAAGTATAGTTTTGGTTCATATGGTTTATCCAAAATCTCATTCTAGGGTCCTAGTATTAGGATTTTGTCATGGATGGTTCCTACTCCATGTAGATGTTTTGGTTACACCCTTAGTCCTTGGTTACATCCTTAGTCCTTAAGGCACATCTATTTTTTACGTGCATCACAAGAATGTGGCCCTCGCATGAGAGCATAAAAGTAATTTCACTTATGTGCAAGTAGACTTAGACTTGGCATTCTTACATTCTTCTAAATACTATATATTATTTACGGAAAATGATATATATACCCTATAAACATTTTAGGGTTAACGATTTTAGTCATTTAACTTTTTAAGTGGTTTTATAAGGGAACAAACTCGTGGGCTACCTGTTTTTTTAGTCCTCTTGACTTGTTATAATCGATTTGAGTGTCACGTAACCAAAACTTGGGCCCATTTCTTTCGTGTTCATCATTTCCTCTATGTTAATGGTAGTTTTTCTTTTTTCTTTTTTTGTTTTTTTTTTTGTCTTTGTGTTGGCCAAATTTCCTTCCTTCAAAGTCAGACACTTAAAAGCTTTACTAAGGTTCCAACTTCACTTTACCCTTCGCCTCGTCGATTCATCTTTAAAATTCTTCTTCACCTTCACTCTTTGATACTCTTCTCCAATACTTTCGTAGCAATTCTTCTTTTTCATCAACAATACCAGTGGTGACAAAACAAATAAATAAATAAAATACATTTTACATAGGTGTTCATGCACATCACCGGCAAGAGGACATGAATGATTCTGTGATCGGCACCGACGTCGTTGAGTACTATATTTGCGAAAAGTAAGCACTTGAAGGGCTTCACCGATTCGACTTGAGTAGTCATCTCTTATCTCCAACACAGTATTGAAATCCGCTAGTAATGGCTCCTTTCTGGTAAGAAATTTTAAAACTTGCGACACGCTCGACCTCACCGTTTGCATGGAGTGCAAACAGAGCAACCCCACATTCAAAACCAAATCCAATTCCTCAAAATCCAAATCATCCTTCATTTTTGGGTCAACTGCTTGCGAGAGTGTCTCTTTAAACCAATAATCCAACACGTAATTGACCAAAATCACCGCCTCTTGCCGCCCCTGCAACTCCACCGGCTGCCGCCCACAAACAAATCATCGATTGCAGCTTTTCTACTTTCATTCTTCACCTTTGTCGAACCAACCAGTCACCAAAGTGCTTCCCGCTTTTTTGATCTTGGTTGTGTTCCTCTTCATTCTCGATCAAATGCATTTGTTTCAAACTCTTCCATTTTAACACAGAGGAAAATGATGAACATGAAAGAAATGATTATATATATATATATATATATATATATATATATATATATATATATATATAATATATATATATATATTATATAATATATATATATAATAATATAACGGAGTTAGGAACAGGAACCTTTTATGTTTCATAGTTTAGCCATAAAGTTTTAAGAAGTTGAAACTTTTGATCCATTTTGAAAATAGTTAGCAATAAGAACATTTTATGTTTCATAGTTTAGCCACAAAAGTTTTAAGAAGTTGACACTATTGGTCCATTTCGAGAAAAAAAAACGTCTTCAGCAAACTTTTTATGTTTTATAATTTTGCTGTAAAAATTTTAAAAAGTTGACACTTTTGGTCCAAATCACCGCCTCATCCTTCAGTTTTGGGTCAACTGCTTGCGAGAGTGTCTCTTTAAACCAATAATCCAACACGTAATTAACCAAAATCACCGCCTCTTGCCGCCCCTGCAACTCCACCGGCTGCCGCCCACAAACAAGTCATCGATTGCAGCTTTTCTACTTTCGTTCTTCACCTTTGTCGAACCAACCAGTCACCAAAGTGTTTCCCACTTTTTTGATCTTGGTTGCGTTCCTCTTCATTCTCGATCAAATGCCTTTGTTTCAAACTCTTCCATTTTAACACAGAGGAAAATGATGAACATGAAAGAAATGATTATATATATATATATATATATATATAATATATATATATATATATATATATATATTATATATATATATATATATATATATATATATATATATATATATATATATATATATCGGAGTTAGGAACAGGAACCTTTTATGTTTCATAGTTTAGCCATAAAAGTTTTAAGAAGTTGAAACTTGTGATCCATTTTGAAAATAGTTAGCAATAAGAACATTTTATGTTTCATAGTTTAGCCACAAAAGTTTTAAGAAGTTGACACTATTGGTCCATTTCGAGAAAAAAAACGTCTTCAGCAAACTTTTTATGTTTTATAATTTTGCTGTAAAAATTTTAAAAAGTTGACACTTTTGGTCCAAATCACCGCCTCATCCTTCAGTTTTGGGTCAACTGCTTGCGAGAGTGTCTCTTTAAACCAATAATCCAACACGTAATTAACCAAAATCACCGCCTCTTGCTGCCCCTGCAACTCCACCGGCTACCGCCCACAAACAAGTCATCGATTGCAGCTTTTCTGCTTTCGTTCTTCACCTTTGTCGAACCAACCAGTCACCAAAGTGCTTCCCGCTTTTTTGATCTTGGTTGTGTTCCTCTTCATTCTCGATCAAATGCCTTTGTTTCAAACTCTTCCATTTTAACACAGAGGAAAATGATGAACATGAAAGAAATGATTATATATATATATATATATATATATATATATATATATATATATATATATATATATATATATATATATATATATAACGGAGTTAGGAACAGGAACCTTTTACGTTTCATAGTTTAGCCATAAAAGTTTTAAGAAGTTGAAACTTTTGATCCATTTTGAAAATAGTTAGCAATAAGAACATTTTACGGAAAATGATATGTATACCCTATAAACATTTTAGGGTTAACTATTTTAGTCATTTAACTTTTTAAGTGGTTTTATAACGGAACAAACTCGTGGGCTACCTGTTTTTTTAGTCCTCTTGACTTGTTATAATCGATTTGAGTGTCACGTAACCAAAACCTGGGCCCATTTCTTTCGTGTTCATCATTTCCTCTATGTTAATGGTAGTTTTTCTTTTTCTTTTTTTGTTTTTTTTTTGTCTTTGTGTTGGCCAAATTTCCTTCCCTTCAAAGTCAGACACTTAAAAGCTTTACTAGGGTTCCAACTTCACTTTACCCTTCGCCTCGTCGATTCATCTTTAAAATTCTTCTTCACCTTCACTCTTTGATACTCTTCTCCAATACTTTCGTAGCAATTCTTCTTTTTCATCAACAATACCAGTGGTGACAAAACAAATAAATAAATAAAATACATTTTACATAGGTGTTCATGCACATCACCGGCAAGAGGACATGAATGATTCTGTGATCGGCACCGACGTCGTTGAGTACTATATTTGCGAAAAGTAAGAACTTGAAGGGCTTCACCGTTCGACTTGAGTAGTCATCTCTTATCTCCAACACAGTATTGAAATCCGCTAGTAATGGCTCCTTTCTGGTAAGAAATTTTAAAACTTGCGACACGCTCGACCTCACCGTTTGCATGGAGTGCGAACAGAGCAACCCCACATTCAAAACCAAATCCAATTCCTCAAAATCCAAATCATCCTTCAGTTTTGGGTCAAATGCTTGCGAGAGTGTCTCTCTAAACCAATAATCCAACACGTAATTGACCAAAATCACCGCCTCTTGCCGCCCCTGCAACTCCACCGGCTGCCGCCCACAAACAAGTCATCGATTGCAGCTTTTCTACTTTCGTTCTTCACCTTTGTCGAACCAACCAGTCACCAAAGTGCTTCCCGCTTTTTTGATCTTGGTTGTGCTCCTCTTCATTCTCGATCAAATGCCTTTGTTTCAAACTCTTCCATTTTAACACAGAGGAAAATGATGAACATCAAAGAAATGATTATATATATATATATATATATATATATATATATATATATTATATATATATATATATATATATATATATATATATATATATCGGAGTTAGGAACAGGAACCTTTTATGTTTCATAGTTTAGCCATAAAAGTTTTAAGAAGTTGAAACTTTTGATCCATTTTGAAAATAGTTAGCAATAAGAACATTTTATGTTTCATAGTTTAGCCACAAAAGTTTTAAGAAGTTGACACTATTGGTCCATTTCGAGAAAAAAAAACGCCTTCAGCAAACTTTTTATGTTTTATAATTTTGCTGTAAAAATTTTAAAAAGTTGACATTTTTGGTCCAAATCACCGCCTCATCCTTCAGTTTTGGGTCAACTGCTTGCGAGAGTGTCTCTTTAAACCAATAATCCAACACGTAATTAACCAAAATCACCGCCTCTTGCCGCCCCTGCAACTCCACCGGCTGCCACCCACAAACAAGTCATCGATTGCAGCTTTTCTACTTTCGTTCTTCACCTTTGTCGAACCAACCAGTCACCAAAGTGTTTCCCACTTTTTTGATCTTGGTTGCGTTCCTCTTCATTCTCGATCAAATGCCTTTGTTTCAAACTCTTCCATTTTAACACAGAGGAAAATGATGAACATGAAAGAAATGATTATATATATATATATATATATATATATATATATATATATATATGTATATATATATATATATATATATATATATATATATATATATATATATCGGAGTTAGGAACAGGAACCTTTTATGTTTCATAGTTTAGCCATAAAAGTTTTAAGAAGTTGAAACTTGTGATCCATTTTGAAAATAGTTAGCAATAAGAACATTTTATGTTTCATAGTTTAGCCACAAAAGTTTTAAGAAGTTGACACTATTGGTCCATTTCGAGAAAAAAAACGTCTTCAGCAAACTTTTTATGTTTTATAATTTTGCTGTAAAAATTTTAAAAAGTTGACACTTTTGGTCCAAATCACCGCCTCATCCTTCAGTTTTGGGTCAACTGCTTGCGAGAGTGTCTCTTTAAACCAATAATCCAACACGTAATTAACCAAAATCACCGCCTCTTGCCGCCCCTGCAACTCCACCGGCTACCACCCACAAACAAGTCATTGATTGCAGCTTTTCTGCTTTCGTTCTTCACCTTTGTCGAACCAACTAGTCACCAAAGTGCTTCCCGCTTTTTTGATCTTGGTTGCGTTCCTCTTCATTCTCGATCAAATGCATTTGTTTCAAACTCTTCCATTTTAACACAGAGGAAAATGATGAACATGAAAGAAATGATTATATATATATATATATATATATATATATATATATATATATATATATATATATATATATATATATATATATAACGGAGTTAGGAACAGGAACCTTTTACGTTTCATAGTTTAGCCATAAAAGTTTTAAGAAGTTGAAACTTTTGATCTATTTTGAAAATAGTTAGCAATAAGAACATTTTATGTTTCATAATTTAGCCACAAAAGTTTTAAGAAGTTGACACTCTTGGTCCATTTCGAGAAAAAAAAAAACGTCTTCAGCAAACTTTTTATGTTTTATAATTTTGCTGTAAAAATTTTAAAAAGTTGACACTTTTGGTCCAAATCACCGCCTCATCCTTCAGTTTTGGGTCAACTGCTTGCGAGAGTGTCTCTTTAAACCAATAATCTAACACGTAATTAACCAAAATCACCGCCTCTTGCCGCCCCTGCAACTCCACCGGCTGCCGCCCACAAACAAGTCATCGATTGCAGCTTTTCTGCTTTCGTTCTTCACCTTTGTCGAACCAACCAGTCACCAAAGTGCTTCCCGCTTTTTTGATCTTGGTTGCGTTCCTCTTCATTCTCGATCTAATGCCTTTGTTTCAAACTCTTCCATTTTAACACAGAGGAAAATGATGAACATGAAAGAAATGATTATATATATATATATATATATATATATATATATATATATATATATATATATATATATATATATATATATATATATAACGGAGTTAGGAATAGGAACCTTTTATGTTTCATAGTTTAGCCATAAAAGTTTTAAGAAGTTGACACTTTTGATCCATTTTGAAAATAGTTAGCAATAAGAACATTTTATGTTTCATAGTTTAGCCACAAAAGTTTTAAGAAGTTGACACTATTGGTCCATTTCGAGAAAAAAAACGTCTTCAGCAAACTTTTTATGTTTTATAATTTTGCTGTAAAATTTTTAAAAAGTTGACACTTTTGGTCCATTGTATTTTATATTTGTGACCTTGAGTTTTATTTTAAAAAGTTGACACTTTTGGGCCATTTTGAAAAAAAAAAACATCTTTAACGAACTTTTTATGTTTCATAATTTCGCCACAAAAGTGTCACACCCCAAAACCGAGAATGGCGGAAACGTTATGGGGTGGAGGACGTCATGTATGTATCACAACAATGTAAAGTAGTAAACAAACAACATCATCATTCATTTGCATTAATAGAATAATTTTTCTTACAAGTGTGTTCTTTCATAGTATAAAACAACATAATGAATACTCAAAATAAAAGATTAGTCTTGACTGCTCCGTCTTCTCTAAACCTTGCATCGGTACCTGTCTACTGGTGACCTGAGAATACAAGTTATTTTGAAAGCGAGTATCAGCAATAAAGCTGGTGAATTCATAAGTATTTTAAAGTTATTGCTTTGAAAATTTGTTATGAAAGACTGGTGAATGTTTGATGAAACATTTAGTATAAGTATGAAGACCCTAGAAAATCTCATATTTCCTACTAGTATTACCAGACCTGACCATTTTGAAAGTAGTCTTCTACCAAGACCTTACTGTTTTGAAAGTACACATCATTGTAAATGTGACGATTTTTCCCCTGTTTAACTATTATTATAAAACTATAAAAGTAATACTAAATTAACTTTTGTTGTATCCTTTGGTATTAAGATATTTCAGTATGATCTACCTCGTCGGTTAGGTGAACGTGACACCAAATAAAGGTAACAATATAATTATATAGGTATTAGTCTACCCTGTCGTTATGTGAATGAATCACAAAATAAAGGTAATGAGCTAATAACTTAAGTATTATCATTTGGTACTAGAATAAACACGGCGTGGAAACTCATCGTAAATGGATCAACCGTAGACATTCGTAGATGTGCATTTATGTAACATCCCGAAATAGCAAGAGTTGAGTTGAAGGGCTAAAACTGTAATTTGGGAGAGAGTGACTCGGCGAGTCCATGGATGGACTCGGCGAGTAGAGTCGCGACTTGTTCGCGTGTTAAATAGCCGACTCAGCGAGTCAATAAGATGGACTCGGCGAGTAGGCGCTGAGTGGAGAAAACCCTAATTCTCGGGGTTGAGCCCTATATAAAGAGCATTATGTTTCCTCCCCAGCCTCTTTATCCCCCCTTTGAGTCCCTAAAACCCTAAAATCATGGAGAAGCACCATTGTTGAGTGGATTGGAGCTTGGAGAAGTAATTGTTGAAGAAAGTTTGGGAATTTGAAGGTGTGGAGCAAGGTGCTTTGCTTGGATTCGAGTTTCCTTGCAGATTGGGGCGTTCCTTTGAGGTAATATCTCGTTCTTAGGCTGTTGTTATCTTGTCTCTTCATTTTGGGGTTTGAGGGAAGCTCATCTTAGGTGATATTGGAATCTAGAGGTAAGATCCGAGGTTGCTACCTTAGATCTGGAATGGAGGAGAGTTGGAATGCAGGAAAGTCCCTGTGTTGAGTGTTGGATGAAGCTATCTTGTCCCAAACCTTATCCCTAAAGTGCAAAATACATAGATCTCTTTGGATTCACGTAAAGTTTGCCACTTTACATGATGAATGAGTTGTAGGAGGCTAGATCTATGTTTTGGATCAATTGCATGGTCTGGAACGCTTTTGTATGGATTCAGACTAGTGGTACTCGGCGAGTCACATGGGTGGACTCGACGAGTTGCTTGAAGATGAGTTGAGACTCGGCGAGTTGCTTGAAGATGAGCTGAGACTCGACGAGTTGGAAGAACAACTCGGCGAGTTGGATGAAGATGGCCTGAAACTCGACGAGTTGTATGAACAACTCAACGAGTAGGTTGATGATAGCCTTAGACTCGGCGAGTCTATTTTTGGACTCGGCGAGTCTTGTCGAAGAGTCCAAATATTTTCTGGTTGAGTCGAGAACCGGCGAGTCAATGGATGACTCGGTGAGTTATGTGCGAGTGGACTCATAATTGTTGGACTCGGCGAGTCTCGGGGTGACTCGGCGAGTTAGTTCGCGGATTGGGTGAAGTTTTGAGTATGGGAACTCGGTGAGTAGGGTCAGTCAGGGGTTGACTTTGACCGAGTATTTGACCAAGGGTTAACCAGTGGTTTCCAGGGGTACTTTGGTAATTCTTGATTATGGTTTTGAGTTTAGTGCATTGGTAGTTATCCAGTGGTGGAGATCGTATCAGTGATCGGAGCAGCTTGAGTTATCTGTTCAGTCGGTAGTTTCAAGGTGAGTTATCCTCATTATATCTATAGGGTTTAAGGTACCAAGGCTGACCCTTTTATCGGATGGAAATCCGGGTAATTGTATGTTGTATGATATTGCGGGATATGGGCCGGAAGGCGTTACGTTATGGGCCGGAAGGCATTACATGTTGTGGGCCGGAAGGCAATACGATGTGGACCGGAAGGTCATGGCCTGGAAAGGCGTATGTGCATAATTATTATGTTGGTTGAGTCGTAGGGTGATGTTATGCTAGTGATCGGCTAGGTTGGTATCTTGGTTAGGGTAATGATATGTTATGTGATCTGTTGATCGATTTGCTAACTGTGAACTGTTATATGATTACATGTTATGTGCATGGTTGTCTGGTCTGGAGTGTAACCCGGTATGCATGGTTGTTCTATGTTCTGTCATGATATGTATGCTTTTTATGTTGCGGGCCGGAAGGCGATATGTTATGGGCCGGAAGGCAATGTGTTATGGGCCGGAAGGCATTACGCTATGGGCCGGAAGGCGATATGTTTTGGACCGGAAGGTTGTGGCCTGGAAGGGTGTATATGTGGTTGGTATTTTGGGGGTATCTCACTAAGCTTTCGGGATTACAGTTGTGGTTTTTATGTTTTTAGGTTCTCAGGAGTTTGTGGCAAGGCAAAGGTGTGATCGTACCGTTCCTCGCGTTGGTGTTTTATGAAATGGACCTGGGAAATACTCTGTTAAATAATGTATTGAAAACCTTTTTGTAACAACGTTTTAAAATGGGTTGTTTTTGAAAAGTTTTAATTGTTTCAAAATTTCGGTCGTTACAATTTACCTCTGTTGCTAACAGCCGGGTGTAGGAATAGTTAGTCCTTTAAGTATACCTATAATGGTATCAACTGTAGACATTTGTAGATGTGCATTTACCTTTGTAGCTAACAGAGGGATTAGGAGTCGTTAACCCCTTATAGTATCGTATCATATAATATCTATGTAAAAGTATTTATGTAAAGATATTCATGTAAACATACTTATGTAAGTGTATCTATGTAAATGTACTCATGTATCATGTAATGTACTCATGTATCATGTAATGTACTAGTATAGACTCATGAATGAACTGACTCTTGTGTGATTTCCCTATACTTGGAATAGTAAGTGGTATCCCCTAACTATACCTATAATAGTTACTAACATGTACGTGTATAACCCGAAGTATGCCTTTGCTACCCAAACGTACTGAACTGACTGAGGAAAACTTTTATGTCTCTATATGTATACATGATATATAACTGATAGTTAAACAACCTTCGGACGGATACCCGATACCCTACCAAACCACATCCCAACGGGGAAAAGGAAATAAAGGGGGTTAGCCTTCCTAAGTCTTTTAAACATTATTTATATAACTATACCTATACCGGCATGCAATTGATAATATAAAAGCATATAAGGAGTTTTATAAAACCTCTGAAAAGATTAATACTTAAGAAAAGATCGACTTGATGTCAGTTTATAAAACGGTTTGGAAGTATTTGTTTGACAAAAACAATTTAAGTATAAAGGAACCTTGGTTTGAAGCACAACTATAACAGATTCAAAAAGGAAACATACAGTTTGTAAGACAGTTTATAAAAGTGTTTTAACAAGTAAAAACGTTTGAGAAAGCTATTTGAAGTATTCTGTTTGGTGAAACGGCTAAAAGTGTAGTAAGTCAAATTGTATGTTAGTTATAAATCACATGTGATTGATTACATAACCAAAAAGT